AGCTCGAATATACATTTGAGGGTGGTCAGGACTAAAACTTTATTGCAGGAATAGCAAAATTGCGACCACAGGCACAGCTATGACGAATTCTGTCGTGCTTGTCGCAAGGAGCCGAGCATTGTGGTACGATTCATCCCATGAAGCATCCTGAGTCCATTCCCCACCTGTGTGAGACGTATTCCAGCCAGAATTAGGCCTTACTCTGACTCGGCATGCGATCAGTGACGCTCCAGATGCGGTTGTCCTGAATTCTCACCAAAGGGCTTCCTACAGGCCGCATTTCGGTCCTATAGCTCCGAGAATTTTTGAGCTATGTCAGCGAGCACGTCTGCATCGCTGGTAGAAATGTGACGATTTTTAGAGAGAATCGAAAAAACAAATTCGAATATCTGCGAGGTCACGTGCGGTTCAACATTTGGCAGACGACCTCCTCAAGCTGAGCCAGCACGACATCGTCGAGATGGACATGCCGGGACGACTGTTTCCGACGGATGGGATCCCAAGCAAGAAGGTGGAATCCCGCTAGGAAGCTGGGGCGAGCTCCAGGACTGGGGCTGTGGATTGTGCGCATGGTGCAGTTTTCGAGAATATCCCTTTTGGTGATTGAACAAGGCCAGGAGAAATATGGGGACAGGCTAGATATTGAAGGAGGCATGATTGAGAGCTGGTATGATCTATCCAGCACAGTCAATAGGACATATCGGTGCCATGTTGAAGGGTACCGAAACCGCTTGCTTTCGTTTTCGATATCTGCGGCATTTACCTCGAGGGCGCAGCGGCATTGCTCCAGATGACGGAATCATGCTAAGGATATTCGAACAGGATATCCGAAAGGCTGTGACCCCGGAAAAGCAGGATAAGGTCGACGCTCTGGTGGTTGAAAACGTGAAACCTATGCAGACACTGCAGCACAATCTATCGGGAATTGTTAGAAAAGCATAGAGGGGGATGCATTGGGGCGGTCTGACCTTCTAACGCAATGGTAAATCGGGCTCTTTCGCTCCAGAGCCGAGCCAAGATTCAAAGATTGGCATGTTGTGGTCAGCGCTTTTTTAGGCCAGAATCGTCATTCGTTTCATTAGCTGTGGCTCAGGGATGAATACACAACAGGACTGACCAAATGAGCGTCGTGGCCATCGTATACTTCGTGAACGAGAAAACAACCATGGTTTCAGCATGGGCGAAAAAGCAGCATCGCCGCATTTGGGTTGTGGATTCTGGAAAGCTCCATCAGAGGGATGGACTGGGAGTGCAGAGCAAATAAGGCCCGTTAAGGTTGGAGTTCAGCGGTAGAATACGACCGAACAACGGATTTGACAGGTCAGGTCTATCATAAACCTTAGGTGCTGCATCGGTGAAGGAACGTAGCGTGACGCACCATAAGCAAGGCAAGGCATGAGCATTTACCAATGCTTCACCATGAAGAACCAGGACAGAGGCCATGGTCAAGCCAGATAACCAAAATCCAAACAAAATAGCCAGGCATTTTGGCCTGCAGAAACCTGTTGGTAAAGGATTTCGCTGAGCTCGGTGCCCTAGCTTGTCATGCCATGTCGACCAAGAATAGAGAATTTTCCACTGACGAAGCAGAACAGAGAAGCGGTGATCAATTTCGGGATGACGGTTTTTTTGAACCGAATGACGATGCGAATCGTATTTTGCAGCCAAAGCAGCACGTGCTCCGCGGTCCTTGTTCCATTCCACGATCTTTGTGACGACTCTCTACACCGTCAACGCGATACATATTCATTTTCACGCGACATTTTAAAGTAAGTCTCCCTTGTTTTCTCGATGGAGTGAAATTGTAATAATTCTCACAGTGCATAGTCGAAGGGCGCTCATAAGGATGTTCGGGCGATGAAGAAGCTTCTTATCAGTATTTCCTTCTCTTGCCATCTCTTGAAATTCTTCTCTGATGCTGTTTGCAGAGCAATACAGCTTTTGTCCAGCCGATATTGTTACCCTCCCCGACAAGCAAGGATCTGAGCAACCTACTCGTGCCAACATTGTAAGTCTCATTTCAAATTGAAGGAATAATCTTATCTGTCGACCCAGCTTCGTCAGATAGATATCCTGGTCAAGGACGCCAAAGCGAGACCATTTCATCTTTCAGTGTATGTCCCGTCCAATTTCAGCTCGTCCAAATTTGCTTACAGATCTTAGACGCCGGTCATTCGACGCAAACGGAGATCGTGGGCGGACTGAAGCGGACAATATGGAGGAATGTACGTGTGCTGATTCATCCTTCTGCCTTACCCTTATCATACCAGGCATTACTTACTTCATCCGACGGCGAGGTCCTTCTTCTGAAATGAATCTAATATCCCGCAGGAGCTTTGACAGTGTCTCGTGGATCCTTTACCAGTGGGCTCGAATCTCGTCGTACGTCTGTTATTCTACTTCCTTCTTTCCTTCCAACAATGATCTCTGGGCAGACCTCGAATATTATCGGTGCAAAATGGTATATATTCCATGGGTTACCAAAGGCGCTGAATGACCATACCCTCTGGAATATTGACTCGACATCTTCGCTGTCATGTATCTTGCTCATGAATATCGCCAGTCCGTCGCCAAGCCAATAAATGTTTTGTCACACCATATGAGTCGCCGACATCGAGCGTAGGGGGTCCGAGGAGGGGTATGCAAGCGTCCGCGTCCGCGGCTATCGGTCATGAACCATACGAGCTAGGTCTCACAGGCGAAGATGGAGAGCTAGGGGGGAACGAGGTCGAAGAAGTTGTTTTTGAGGGGGGTTTCAGAGGATGACGCCAATTCAACACGACCGCCAATATCCAACGTAGAGCGAGAATCCCTGGCGCCAAACTACTGGACCTCAAATCCCACCAAACCACTACGCCAGTCGGGTTTTTCAAGCTCCTTATCCTCGTGATGGTCAACTTCTTCGACGGCATCAGCAATACCAACACCTTCGCGCACCTCATCACCAGCAACGGAGCCTCCGATTCTGTCAGCATCCGCCAGAGCATAAAAGCAGCATCACGGACGTCGGTTTTTGCTGGTCTTTTTCGGTTTCTTTTTGAAGCAGAGACGGTTTGGAGCTCTCTGTTTATTCACGGTTCTTTTCTTGTTCGTGGTGGTGGTTGACGAGAGAGGGGCGAGGGAGATGGGACGAAGGATATGAGGTCATTTTCGTTGACTTCGGCCTGGGGTTCAGCTTCTTTCGTGGTGCCGATTCGTCGTGCAGAAGAGGTCTTTTTTCTATTACTGCGGATTTGGACGAGGGTTCAGAAACGAGAATGAGACGAGACGAGCCGTTTTTGCGCTGGAGGTGGCCGCTGAGACGAGCTCAGAGGAAAACACCCACATGTGTCTTTCCCTCTTTCCTTCATCCCCCTTTGTCTCCCTTTTGCTCTTTCTTGGTTCGTCTCTCTACATCTTGTCTTGCTACCGCTCATTTGCCTCCCTCTTATCTCTTCGCCTTCTCCTTGCGCTCGTTTTGATTGGTTGTCTCTTGTCGTTTACCTCCTTTCCCTCTCCTCCGAGTCGCTATTGCTCATAGACTTGATAACCTCCGACAGGTCTGAGCATCGGCCATCCCCGAAGCCTCCCACAAACGGGACTGGTCACGGCCATTGTGGATGCTGTTGTATTGTGTTTCTCTCTTCATTTTCTTTTGTTTGTTCTGCAATGCATTGAGCGCTTCGGTTTCGTGCGGCTGGCTTTCATTCCTTGTTGAATGGATTTCTTTGTCAGTTTTCGAAAGCGAATGAAAATAAGACAGTCGGAAACCGTACGCCGAACGAAACCTCTTCTATTTGTCATATGAAGAGCAAATACCAATGACTGGCGCCAAATACAGCCTTTCGCAGTCAAAAGGGAGGACGTTGGCGCTCGAGTATATGCGAGCTAGTGAGCATCCTTTCTTTGATTATTTCTTTTCCTCTCTTGTTTGCTTTCCATTTCCATGTCGCTTGATTTCCTTTACTTTTTCTTGTCCACCAGTCCTTCCTTTTCCTTTACCTTTCGGGGTCAGTTTCTTTGTCACTTTTCGGTGTGCCTCCACCTCGTCTTCCTTCTCTACCAAATCCAATGAATGCCGAAGCAATCTGAATTGCGTTGTCTTCCCAGAATGTGTCGCCCCCCTTGGGTCCACCTCGCTCGTCTTCAACTTTTTATTCCTGAGATTTCTAGTTGGGACGTCTGTTCGAGTACCGATATCTATGTGCGTGCAATTTCTTGTATTCTTTCCTTTTGCTGACTCGCTCGCTCCCATCTTGCCTGATCTTGCTTCATCGATGTCGCTCCATCGCCCTTCGGTCGTCTCGCTCGCTATCTTGAGGCACCATACTTAATCGTCATCCTTGGCGTATTCAGCATCGTCACGACGGTGGCGCTGGGGCTTCTGATACTGAGTTGGATGGAGTGTTGGTTGGGTGCGGCGACAGGTCTGTTGGGAAGGCGAGTGATGAGGGGAGCGAGTTGGAGGGAGACGAGGATGCAGAAAGCTTACGAATCGGTGATATTGAACGAAGGAGGAGGGGTTATGAAGACATCAACCTAGAAGAAGAAGACGAAGACGTGGATCATCATCAGCATCCGTCGTCTCTTGCTTTTGAGGCCCAGTCCAAGTCTCTTTCGCACTCGCAGTCTCAGAGTACAACGAGTCTGAGAGAAAGTAGAAGAGGAAGAGGAGAGGAAGCAGTGGGGTTGATGGCCAAGGAGGATGAGGATTTATAGACTTGTTTGAACGGTGTCATAGACTCATTAAAAGTCTTCAAAACATACCGGAGATATGCATAACGATTACTTACTACATACATGTATAATACTCACCGCTACTGGTCGCATTTCAAGTTATATTTTGTTGCTGATTCTGGGTTGTAAATGCATAATCTGAGGTCAACATCCTTGTGAAGACGCGATGCAATGGCTCAAGTGGGATTTTGGGTTTTCTTGGCCTGCTAATGGGTCTGTCTCTTGGTCGGTCGAGAAGGACTAGCAGACTCGGAGCTCCAAGACAGAACATGATCCAAAAAGCATGATTCGACCCAGGCTCGAACTGAGGACCTTCTGTGCAGAACATGTTCTGGCGTATGTTAGACAGATGCGATAACCAACTACGCCATCGAACCGATGATGAGAGGGCGGGATATGGGACATTGGTTCGGAGAGTCTGATTGACCGGAGTATTGAGTGAGGGAGATTGCGATGTTGCTTGGAAGTTGTAATCGATTTTTAAAAGCTTCTTGGTGCACAGTGGCTGTGAGCTCATTTTTGTGCCACTGTCTGTTTCACGGGACTCCGAGATGCAATTCTTACAGGTGCTCCGAGATCAGATCATTACTTTGAGACTACCTATGGCACACAGGACTCTGTGATCCGTTTTGAACAGTACATTAGACTATATTTCTTTGTCTCCAGTTTTAAGAGTACATACTTGTATTTTCCTTGTCCATTTAGAAGGTAAGTATTTGACATCCATTTTCATTCATTTTTATGGGACTTGAGGCTACTTGAACAATTCACATGGTTGTATTGAGAGACATTCAAAAATGAGGTTTGACACATGCCAGCTCTGAGGCCAGCTTTGGGTTTTATTTGCAAAGCAGCCTGTGTCGAAGCTGAGATATCAAGGCCTTCCAAGCTGAAACCTGATGCATATGGACAGAAGTGTCTGTAACCTCCTGGGTTGGAGTACCCTCCTGCATACTCTCTGATGTTGGGATACTCTCCGATGTTGGGATACTTTCCTGTGTCAGAGTACTCTCCTGTGTTGGAGTACCTTCCTGTGTTGGAGTACCCTCTTGCCCTGGAGTACCCTCCTGCCCTGGAGTACCCTCCTGCCCTTGATTTGTTTCATGTTCCTAGAATTAGACACATAAAATTCAGTGTGACCCCCAGCATACCATCACTGAGGGACCTACCTTGATACATATGATAAGCTGGTCCAAATAGGGTGTTGCTTTAGATAGGATATGCTAGTGTTAGAGTGAGAACCATGTACCTAAATAGTAGCCAGAAGGCCTCACCTTGGATTGTGTAGTTGCCCATTCCAAGTCCCTCTGGAACCGTTGTAGAATTCCATCTCTTTCAAAATGGGGTTTCCACATGTTGATATTCGGTATCAAAACTTTGAGCAATTTCATGACCTTTGCTTCAAGTTCAGAACTCTCCATGCTCTCTTGACCATGTGCAGTCAAGATACTATTAAAATGATGGACCCAGCTCCGGAAAGCATAGTGTGTGACATGATACTGCCCCAAGGAATGGAACTGCTGTATATCATGAATGATGAGAGTGATGCAGCTGAAAAGAATCTGTTGGTGGACAGCTGCAGATTTGAAAAACTGATCTTGGTGCCTATTGGAATCTGTTAAAAAGTCCAGCAAAGAGGTGTGATGTGGTCGGATAATATCATTATATGATGTTGGAACAATGATAACAGAATGGCATCCGCGCAATGCCAGGTGCACATCCTGAATTGACTCAAGAGGAAGAAGTGAAGATATGTGAGATATTGTAAATGACTTGTCCAGGATGGAAATAGCGCCAACAACCAGTCCAAAATTTGGATAAGATTTGGCATCCTCTAGCACTTGCTTATAGAGTGAGTCCAAGCCTTTGTGCATCCGTTTGGCGGTCTCCAGATTACGCCGGGGGTCTCCGTATTTGTCATCAACAAATCTGACAAGTGTTGAGGCATAGGCAAATATTCCCTCTGACTTTTCAGCCAGGGTACTCACAACACCTAGACCAGGCCAGTCTGCATCAAGTTTTCGCCTTTTTGCGATTTCACAGAACTCAGGCAGTAGATAGTTCTCCACATCCTGTATAGCCGGAAAGTCCTGGAGAGCCATATGAGACATTGAAGTAAATGTCTCAAACATCTCAGCAATATCAGCTTCTGGCCGGCTGGTGAAGAGGATGCGGAAATGGAGTTGTTTGACCATTATGTCAATGAGGATTTGAACTAGATGTTTCAAGTGAATTTTGCCCTCATCCTGATTATATTCATCAAGACCATCAATGACAAGAACCACAGGGAGAGCTGGGGGGCTGGCTGAAAAGATGGGGGTGATGATGCTAGTGATGGTTGTGAGCTGGCCTCTGAGATTTTGAAGAAAAAGTCCTGCACTAGTTTCAAGGGCTTCATCAACCTTGTTCTCAATAGAAGTGAGCCCTGTGCTCTTGGCCAGGGTGTAGGCAAAGGTAGGGATGAGTGCAGACAGGTTGCTGCGGTTGGTATATCTCCTGGAGAAGAAGTAGCTCAAAGCAAGACAATGGTTATTGTCACACTGTTGAGCCACAGTATGAGCAATAGTGGACTTTCCAGCTCCTGCTGGACCAGAAAGCCAACAGACTGGTTCACCATGACCTCGAGCCCATTGGTCAAGCTGCTTTAAGACCTCTTGTCTTGTCTTTGGTGCACAGACTGATGCTTCCTCACACTCCCGCTCATGAGAATTGTATGCAGTGTCATGCCTAGCAAGATCTTTGAGCCGCCTGGTCACTGCTGAAAAAACATAAATGCCATATTCCACGACAGAAATCAAGAAATATTACTAGGAGCATGATTGATGACATTGCCATGAATGTTACTGATATTGTGAGAGCCCACATCACCACCCACAGTGCCTACAAAAAATGCTGAGGACTTTCCTTGACTCCATTGGCTCACATAGACCTACCAAAATAGTTCTCTTTCAGGTCTACTTGCGCAGCCATTGACATCGAAAATGAGGGAGAGCTGCTTGATGGAAGTAAGCACAAAGTGCAGCTGACAGTGAACATGAGGCTGCAGCGTGGTCCATTGACCAATCAGGACTGGTCATGCCAAGGTCATGCGTCCCAAGACACCAGATGAGTCAGACAAAATGGTTTCATTAGGTACTATTTTCTATCCATCCCTATAAACAGAAGCTCTTGTTGTAGACCAGCTCTCAAAATTCAGGTTGCATTCTGTCCATATCATTCCAAGGCGAGCGACATCCATCTCCCACCTATGTCAGGTGACCTGTCCATATTTGGGTAATTTGTTTGAAATAAATGAATATAATATATTCAGGATGTTTTGGCCGAATTAGGCTCCCATAGAATCCTTAATGAATGGACAGCGCAGTGCGGGAGGCGCACCGGGGATCATATTGGGACGAACAGGGGCATGTCGGGTGATTGACTCAGTCAAACTGGTCAGAGTCCTACTACTCCGACCGACCCAGTGCTAGTCCTACTATTCTCGTACCTACTCGTCTAACGGCCCAGCCTATTCAAGGTCCCGAATACTCATGCCGTCGCTTAGGTCTTGAATATGTCGTCTGACCTATGTTAATGTTTGAATATAGGTCTGTTCAGCATCTATTCGGCGTCTATTCGAGTCTATTCGACGGTGATCTATTCTCTCCGTGTATATATGTATCAGCCTAATATGTAGTGAGCAATGTACATATTTAACCAACAAGAATATTCAAGCTTCAAGCTTCAGGTCCCATTCTCTTCATGCTGTTGTGTCTGGGCCGAAGTTGAATAGCTATGTTGCTGGATGTCTCATAGCAGATCAACGAGAATTGGTTCAAGGGCAGGGATGTGGTGGTTTGAGTCGAAATGAGAAACTGAAGACAGAGTTTCTGCATGTTGGAGATTGAAATTACTTCTATGATGTTGGACATATTACTTCCGGAGGAGACGGGCAGCTTCTAGTTGAGTGAAGATATAGCTGCAAACAGAAAAAACAAATCTCTAGTGGTGCGAATATGACGTTGATCTTAGATCGTAGCCTATAACATCGTCACTTGTTTTCATCAGAGGCAATGAGCTTGAAACAGTGTAAAGCGCTAGCAATTACACTTTGAAGAGAGTCTTTTGTCTTGTAATGACTTTGTTTCATGATGCAACAATTCTCATATTGGATCAAGCTTCAGTGAAGCACATGGCGCAGCCAAGACGTGTGGTGCATCCCCCAAAAAAGATTTGATCTACAAATAGGCACACCTATCTGGGGTCATTACGAGGTCAGAATTAGGATAACAGAAAGAGTTTCATAGAGCAGAGAAAGCTACAGGATACAGGATATGACCACCCATCTAACTGTGGGGTATTAGGAGGACCTGGAGAACATTGAACAGATGTTAGACAGATAGGACAGCCGGCAAAGTTGGAAGTGATGGTTCTTTGCCCTGTGATGCAATGGCTGATGAGCAGCAAGCTCAGTGTGAACTTGAGGCTTGAGTGAGGGACAGGATTTGAGGCGGGAATAAGGGACAATGATTCCCTGGACGTAGGTCAAGGATAAACAATCTGGCGCTTTTGGATAAGATAAGGTGAGAAAATTGGCCAGGAAATATGTACTTTTCTGAGACATCTTGTAGTAGAGTGTTGTCTGCCTTGTCTTGGATATTTATGATATTTATGTTGGCTGGGTATCAACTACTATGCAGCAATCTTTTGGAGACGTCCGTGCAGTCCTGAGGCGTATTGAAGAAACTCCGGAGGTGTGGGTGAAAGAGAGGGCCTCAATTGAATCCTTTGGCTGAGAGAAGTCAGTAGCTTCAAAGGTGAGAGAATAACGGAACTTCATGTCTTGGGGAGAGCACTTAGCTCCTAGTTTCCACTCTTCCTGTAACATTCCTTGGAAATGCACCCATCCACTTTGTGCAGGATCAACTATTGAACCTAAAGACCCGCATTGAAGGACCAGGAAATTGAGTAATTTGAAAAGGCATAGGAAGTTGAAGGAATACTATAAGCAAAGGAAACTCTAAGGAATATGTACAGCAACTCAAGAGAATGGGGTGAAGGAAATGAAAACTCACTGGGAATAAAGGAAGAGGAGTTCACAATGGGCCGAAAGGAGCGAAGACTCTCTGGAATAAACTGAAGGAAACAAAGACATGCCACAAAGGACTTGAGAGTTGGACTTTTGGGCTTCTAGGTTCAGATTTTTGGGTTTGGAGAGCAATGAGAAGTACAAGGTTGATTTTAGGGACCAAAAAGGACAAAAAATGAAATATTAAGTTGAAGACAAAGTATCAAGTAAAAGTCAACAAGAAGGTCCAGTCTCAACTCTCAAGAGTAAAAATACAGCAAAAAAGGCTGATTCATGTATCTATTACTACTACTAAAACCCAGGATTGAA